CGAAAAACAAAGCCACAACAACCCGCCCAACACGATTACCAACCCCAAGACACACGACACCACCACCCCGCCTCCCCCGCTCTGCACACTCACACGACACCACCACCCTGCTCCCCCTCAACACACACACGCACATACACACACACATGCGGACGCGACACCACCACCCTGCTCCCCCTCAACACACACACACACACACACACACACAGAGGTCCCCCACCGCCCCCCCACCTCTCCAGCTCGTCCTTCTTCTTGATGGCGTACGAGTTGCTGGAGCCCTTGGCCGCGTTGATCAGCTCGTCGGCCAGGCACTCGGCGATGGTCTTCACGTTGCGGAACGCCGCCTCGCGCGCGCCCGTGGTCAGCAGCCAAATCGCCTGCACAGGCGGTCGAGCGCACACACCGCAAGAGTCGATGAGTTTCGTCGAAATGCGTGTTTAGTGAGTTTGATCAGGGCGGGAGCTGACTATGATGGGGCGGAAGCCTGGATCTCCTCCGCACCGACCATGTGCACGCAGCCGGGCGGCTGCGCTTTTCATCCGCAAACCCAGCCGTCGCTGACGCGCGTTCAGCCTCCCGCCTTATTTCGCGTTACCACTGGGGGCGTGGGGGCACCCAGCACGCGGGTGCAGGCCCTGCGCGTGTCACATGCCCTGGGTGGCCCCCTCACCGAGTTCACGCGGCGCAGGGGCGAGATATCCACCGCCTGCCTGCGCACCACACCCGCAGAGCCGATACGGGTGGCGTCCTCGCGGGGGCCGCTGGCGTTGTGCCCAGACGATTTTGAGGGAGACGGTGGATGAGGGCGAACATGAGTACGGCGTGCTGCGCTGGAGTGTGTGCCACGGCCACATTGCCAGCGTTGATCCCTGTAGCCTGCCCGCGGCGGGACGACAGCCCACCAGCCGCCACCAGCCGAACCCTGGTTGCCCCAAGCCTCGTGGTTCGGACAGCTCGCCGGGTGCCGGAACACCCGCCACAACCAGCGCGGCCTTCGCCAGCCCAACCCTGCGGCGCGGCCACTCAGAGAAACGCGCCGCCTGGCCACCTTGTGACGGTCACCCCACCACCTTACATCCCCCCTCGGACCCACCTGTTGATGATGGCGTCCACCAGCACCTGGATGGGGTTCTGGTCCGACAGCAGGTGGATGATGTCAAACGCGTGGCTGACGATGCGCACCTGGGGGGACGCGTCGGTGTCCGGTGAGCGCGCAACAATATGAGTGAGTGGGTGGCGCCGGCGGGGGAGTTTGAGACAGGGGGGATGGCAGCACGACACATTTGGAGCATGGAACCCGTCAAGAAAATGAGAGGCTCCGCTCAAGCTGTGCTGCCTTATGGTGATTTGCCAACGCCGCCGCCTCCGCGAAGAGCTGTTCCTCATGGCTGCCAGCGTCGAGCCGTCACAGCTGCACGGCCCGGCCACGCTGTCTCCGCCGTCTCTTTCAGCGTCTGCGGCAGGCTCCAGCGCGCATCGTCGCTACCGATCAGGTCAGGGTCAGCCATGCTACCACGCTGGCAACGCTGCAGCCGCGAAAAGCGCCTGATGCCTTCCAGTGTCTATGCAGGCTCCACAGGCCGCGCCCTTGCTGAGGTGGCCGCTTCGCAATGCGCGCAGCTGCGCAGCACATCGCCGATGCTGATGCCGCCGCTTCCGGTGCTGCTGCCATATTCCGCACAGCTGCTGCTGCTGCTGATGGTACCGCCATCGCAGCGCGCAACTGACACAAGCCCATCTGCACGTTGCCACGCACTGAGGCTGCGTCGGTGAAGCGCCATGCTGCTGCAAGCTCAGCACGGCCACAAGCCAGCGGTTCCAGATGCTGCCCCACGTACAAACTCTAGCCACCACCAATCCCTGGAAAACCAGCTGTCCAACGGCCCCACTCGCAGTAAGAAAAGACGACTCTGCGCCGTTTCTACGCACCGCCATGAGCTTCTTGCCGTTGTTGCGGCCGTGCATCATGATGGAGTTGGTCAGCCTACACAAGGGTTGAACAAGTCGCGGCACGCAGACAACTACGTGAATGCGCTGAAAGGGGACGATCAGGCGACGGCAGCAAGCACACCAAGCGGCGTGCGCAGCAAGCGCAACCCGGCAGCACTGCACCAAGCAGCACCGCGACGGCTGCCTCTAGGCCTGCACTGGGCACCGTGCCCATGCTGTCACAGTGCTTTCGGACGCCCACCTCTCCACGATCGGGCACAGAGCCTTGCGGAAGCGCCGCTTCTGGTAGCGGCCGGCCGTGTGGGGCACATACACGGCGAACTTGGGCTTCACCGCGATGTAGTCCTCCAGAGAAATGTCCGTCACCTACGGCCGGGCGGGTTGGCCGCTTCGCTATGAGCGATGCTCCGCCCGCCGTGACTGCCCTGCCCACCCGGAGCACCCAGCTCACCTCCACCTCCTCAAAGCTCCACTTCCCGAACAGCTTGACCTCCACTGCATCGCTACCTTGGGTCGCCATCCTGCAGAAAGCAGAAAGCGAATGAGCGTCCCGCCCAGCGGCCTTGCACCAGCCTCAAAGCGCAGCGTGGCCCACGTACTTGGCTATGAGGCTCCTGTGGCCTTGGCAGAAAGGGCGAGTAACACGCGCGGGGCGCAGCAAGTGCGCGCGGCACCAGTGGCAGCACAGCAGGCACCGCACGTGCTTTGTGCGTTTTCGCCATGTGCACGTGCCTCGCACGGCGTAACATGCATGCAAAATGCTGATGTTCACATGCTTTTGATTGTGAAACTCTTTGCAAGCCCAGCACGAAGCAATTTAGTGCAGACGTGTGGCACTTGAGTACAACAGGGCTTTTGTTCATGCGAGGCACTGCGCTGAGCCTGCATCGCCTCGGTGCCTTGTCCACAGGTGTCTGTACGGACTACGACGGCACAATTGTGGTAGACATGTGATGTGCACATTTTGCGCCAAGCAGCCACCAGCCTCTCAACGCCTGCCTTCCAGCGAGAGTCGGAGTCCTGCCGCGCAGCTGCTGGCTTGCGGCAGGATAAAGCGCACAGCCAGGCAACACGCCGCGCAGATTCCGATAACATCGACAGCCGTCAACGCTGGTCACTGTGAGTGCTGCTCACTTTGACCCTGTGCTCTGCTGAAGCCTAAGCATGACGTGACAGACAGTACCAGCTCCCAGTGCTGAGATGCAAATCATGTGGTCAATCCAGAAGCCCCCAGCACTGTTGGTTCGGCAAGTGCTCTTGAATGCAACCATGAGGTATAGCATGGCACTGCACTCGTGCACGCCACCCCTGCACTGAACGGGTGCCACATTGACACATGCATGAACGCAGCCAATTTTGTTGTGGCACACCGTGCAACTGATCTTCTGTTTGCTTTGCAAGTACATCGTTCAAAAGGCTAAATGGTTGAATGCGCTCTGCTACCGTAGCTGACGGCGGGGGCCAGTGTTCACACCAGGTGTTCCGAGGCAGTACTGACACAAAACATCAAGTCGGCACGGGCGCGTTTGCTGGCAGTTTTGAATTTTATAAAGCTGTATCGAAATAATTCACCGGTTATCAGGACTTGCTACGCCACCAAGCACCCCCGCGAAGAAACGGTCAAAGCGCGGCCTTATGGATGTCACGGAGGACGAGCTCCAAACTCTGTATACATGGGTAAGATGATGGCCACGGCGATGGGCAGCTCATGGCGCCGAGGCAATCAGAGGAGGCGCCAACCTGCCACGCTGCTGCTGCCGCTGCTGCTGCGGTCTGCGCATTCCTGACAGGTGGACGAGATCCCCCTGTCGCGCCCAAAGCGCAACATAGCCCGAGATTTCAGTGATGGAGGTGAGGGATGCGCGTCCGGGCGCCTCTGAGCGGTGCGTGCATGCCTGCTCCCAGAGTACTGCTGTTGCAGCGCACGGCGCGCGCATTCGACGCGCCGCGCCGCAACCTTTTATGCGCAGTCCTGGTGGCGGAGGTGGTGCAGAACTTCTTCCCAAAGCTGGTTGAGCTCCACAATTACAGGCAAGCATGTATAGCGGGACCGCAAGAGGTTGAGCGCTCGGTTGGCTTGGCGGCGGGCCAGCCACAGCCCGTGAGTTGGGATGGGGCAGCAGCGAACAGATACAACAGGCGCACCTTGTGGCACAGCAACTGTGTGGCACAGCAGCTGTGCATGCCTGCTGGACATGCCTGCTGGGTCTGCAGCAGTAGGGATTGGGGTTTGGGGCAACGAGCTGGGGACGCACCTGGCAAGCAGCTGCGCCCGCATCTGCAGCGCATAGGGCTGTGCAGCGCGTGACAGCTAGGCCTCTGCTCGCTCCTTGCCGCACCTCTGCCTGCACCCCGCAGCTCAGCCAACTCGCTGCAGCAGAAGCTTTACAATTGGAACACCCTCAACACCAAGGTGTTCCGCAAGCTCGGCTTCCAGCTGCCGCGGGATGAGCAGACGCAGTGAGTTGGCTGCGCAGGAGGGCACGCCAGGGTGGCGCAGCGGCGGCAGTCAGGAAGGGACGCGCAGCTGCCCTCCGCCATGTCACGCGGGATCGTTGTGGTACAGAGGCAGCAGTGGCGGTGCAAGCAGCAATAGTGTTGCCATGACCAGTGTAAGCAGCAGCATGCAGGTTGCCATCACCAGAGCGTCAGTTGCAGCCTGAATGCTTCCCGCCTTGCTGGTGCTTCCCGCCTTGCAGGTGCGCGAACAGCGTGGCGGGCGCCATTGAGCGCGTGCTCAAGCTGCTGAAGACACACATCACTGCCTGCATGGAGCGCGGCGGCTTTGAGGCGACGGCACCCACTACTTTCAGGTGAGAACGCTCGCGGGGTGTGCATGGGGACATTGCTTAAACCTGCAGCTCAGAATTCATGTGCACAGCTTCAGTGTGCATACTGACACCCGCCATGCGCCCGCTATTGCATTTTTGCAGCACCATCAGCCCCACAGGCGCGCCGCTGTCGCTGGGCGCGGCGCCGCCCGCGGGCGCGCTGCGCAGCCAGGTGGTCTCGCAGCCGCTCGGCCCCGTGATCAGCAGCTACGTCTCCGGCTCGCTCGCGGCGCCCGGCGGCGTGCCCGGCGGCAAGGGCAGGTCGGTGGCGGCGGAGGTGCTGGCTGAGAAGGAGGCGGCCCTGCTGGAGCTCAGGGAGACGAATGAGGTGCGGGGAGGGTTGCGGCGAGCAGCGATCTGGCTCGCCGATGGGAAGGACATCGGCGCCCTGGGGGTCCACTTGACGAAGGGGTGGGACGCGGGCGGGTGTTGGCGTGTTTGTTGGCGGTTGGGTTTTGGGGCAATCGGCACACGGGCGGGCGAGTGAAGGGGGGCGATGGCAAGGAGGTCACCTGTGGGGGCAGGCCATGAGTGCTTCTCGCCCACAAATGGCGCCAGAGACCTCAATTGTCGATGCTGGAAAGCCGTCCTCTGTGTTCTCCCTGGCCTATCCCACTGGCAGGTTGAGTTAGTTCGCGCTGCGCCTTGAAGTGTTGTACCTGCAGCTCGCCCACTCCGCCTGCCCCTGCAAATTCTGGCGCCTTTTGCAGATCCTTGAGACCAAGGTGCGCAAGCTGGAGCAGTTGGTCAAGCTCAAGGACGCCAAGATTCACACACTCATGGCCAAGCTGCAGGCGGCGGGCCTGGCATGATCTTGCGGCGACGTAGCTTTTGAAGACGGCAGGCATCACGGCGCGCTGCCACGCGCACCCGCGTTCTGTGACAGGCGGCGGGGCCGGCGTGGGCTGGGCAGACGGCGCGGGCTGCGCTTGCGCAGCGGTAGTGGCGTGGGGGTGCGTGTGCGGTTTGGCCATGATATCACAGGGCTTGGAGCTGTTCCGCGGAGCACAAGGGGCCGCTGCCGCGTGGCAGCGGCGCGGTTGGCGAGTCTGCTTGCACTGACAATGCTGCCTGTGGCGGCATCTTTTACCGCCGCGCTGCCCGGCGTGAACCTTCCAACAAAGCTGTGAGCGTTTCTCTCAAGAAGGGTGCTTGCTTTTTAACCGTGTCCAACTCCATGCCTAGTCCCTTCCTGCGGTTCGTCCGATCTACACAATATCAACGGCTCAGTATGTAACAATCAGAAGCGTCTCGCTTGAGTACACATAAGACAAGACTCTGGACCAAGGGTTGAGGATTTGGATCAACCCAAACCAACCCAAGATGGAATGCCACAGCATATCACAAAGTTCTTGAACCACTGCAGGTATTTCAACAAGTGAGCCCGTAACCACCCAGCGCACCTCTACACGCGCCGCTTGCGCGGCAGCCTGCAGCCGTTGTACGGCGTCGGCGTGACCTCCCGCAGCTGCGTCACCGACACGCCGCCCGCCGCCAGCGCCTGCACCGCGATCTGCTTGTTGCGCCCCATGCCTTTGAGCTGCACGCTGACGGAGAAGTACCCCTTCTCGAGCGCCCTCCGTGCGAGCTCCGCAGCGGCGCGCTCGGCGGCGAGCGGCGAGCTCTTGTTGGCGTTCTTGAAGCCGACAGACCCCCCAGAGGTGTACGTCTTGATTTGCCCTTGGAGATCCGTCAAGACAACATGTGTGTTATTCAGGCTGCAGTTGATGTGGACAATTCCCTCCTGCGCCTGCACCTGCGCAGCGCCGCGGCGCAGCGGCTGCACTAGGCGGGCGCCCGAGGCGAAGCTTGGCTTCGGCGGCGGCGGCGGCGCGCGGCTGGCGGGCGCAGCCGCGATGGAGGGGCCGCTGGTGCTTGCTTGGTCCCAGCCGCCATCGCTGCTGCTGTTTCGGCTGCTGCTAGCGTCGCTGGTGCTGCTGGGGGTTGGTGACGCTGTGCCCGCTTGGCTCGGCGTATCGCCGCCCTCTGCCGATGCAAACCAGCGGGTGCCGGCGAAGTGTTGATGCACTGCTGCAGACGCTGCTGCGGCGTAGCCCGGCCCTGCCGCTCGGCCACCTGTTGTAGGGTCGCAAAGTTGTGCTGATGAGATTCTTGATATCATGAATGCCAAACACCTTGTCCGACGGCCCTTATTTCAGACTTGCTCACCTGCAGGCAAGATCAGCTCCACCAGCTGAAGCCTCGCAGCTGTAAGCGCACTGAGAGCGGTATGCATGTCTTGAGCTTCTGCACTCGCGCGCGACAGGGGGGGGAGCAGGCTGCCGCCTAGATCTGCACTCGTGCACCCTTCTCGATTATAGTTGCATTGACGTCAATGTCACGGATGGCGGGTACAATTGGAGAGCCGGGGTCAGCTTGCAAGGCGTGAAGGGGAGTGGCTGTGACACTGAAGCGATCAGGCGTGAGCTTTGACCTGGACCTGCCGCCAGCAGGTGCGTCGAGAAGCCAACATGATTGTCCTTGATGCCAGGATAATGGGGAAAAATGTATCAAAACATGAAACATTTGAATCAGTGGAGCATATGTCACTTCAAACAGCTATGATCATAAGCAGGACCAGGGCAACTTTGAACCCTACAGCGACTCTGCATGGGCAGGCAATGTTGAGGGTGTTGTGGTGCTTGTGAAACTGTTGGACTGCCGACAATGTGGTAGGTCAGCAGCATGGACAAAAAGCCTTTGGCAGCGACCCCAAGGCAGCAAGCCATCAGAGCCATCAAACATTTCTCTGCACGGGAACAGCCGCTGTTCCCGACGGATCGAGGCAGCTGGACAGGCACCCTTGTGGTGTACATCACATTGCTTGTGCTTTTGTTCGCCCTTTTGCAGTGCGGCAGCTTCGCCGCACACATGTCGTGTTTGGGGCAGGGGGCTTTCCGTTGCGGGCCCCCTGCCCAACTGTGGTGCGTGGCAGACTCGCTGTCCTCGCACCCCTGTTCACAGTTCATGTTTGTGGCAGGGAAGCCAGACGCGCCTCTCTCAGGTTGGCGCGTTCTAGTTAGTTTGTTTCCCGCCCTCCCTTGCCCACGGGGGGGGACAGGTGGCGTCGCGGTGCCGCTGCCAGTGACCCGCCGGTTGCCGCTTCACTGCCATGCTCTTCGCACCCCCACCTGTGCTTTGGGCCGGGCGTTCAGTCGCCCCATCCTTCCCCCTTTCCGTTGTAACCTGGAGCCGAGACAGCAAGCCAGATCTTTGCCTGCATTTCTGCCATACTCCGTACGTACATTCTGCCATGTTGCTGACGCGATCTGAGAGGGCAGCTTTAATGATAGTCTTCTACACAACGCTGCCCTGGAGGTGTTGGATTGTGGCCGCCACATCACCTGCACCCCAGTCCTTCGGGAAGTGCGGCGACAGATTAAAACCAGCCAATCCATTTCACACCGCCCCTTATTATGATGAGACTAGTTTGATTTCCTCTTACATAAAACCAAGGCAGCCCAGGGCAGCCCGAGCGGCTTACGGGGGTTTCAAGCACTGAGAACGCGCAGATACATTTACTGCGGGATACACATCAACATACCATGTCGATCTACTCAGTTCTAGAAAATGCCAAGGCACACACGTCGCAGTCGCCAGCGGCCAGCCCCCGCGGCATCCGTTTGGCGTCGCCTCGCGCTGCGCTGCTGTCGCACTTCACGCAAACGCCGCGCTCGTGCGGCGCGGTTGGCCACGCCCACGCGACGCATCATGGATGTTCAGATGGCAGCAAGGCACCTGCAAGTGGCAGTGCGCCTCCGGTGCAGTCATCAGGGCGCGAACCGCCGGGCCGCCATCCTCGCAAGCCGCCCCGCAGCACCGACGACGAGCCGACGGCATCGTATGAGGCGAGCGCATCGCTCTCTGGTGAGCGCAGCATGCGTTGTTCTTCACGCCAAGCAAATTTCAAATGCTTTGGTCTGCTGCCCTGGCGGGCGTGCAAGGCGTCGCCCCCCCCTGGCTTGCAGAACCTCCACGCGCTCTTTTCCACCGGAGCTCGACGCACGGGCAGCGTCAGGCATGCCGCATGCCTGCGGCAGACCCATGCGGTCGAGCGCTTCAAGCGTCAAGCATCCGCCTTCCTAATGCGCAATGCAGGCTCTGCGCTGGCACGCCGCATGATGGTTGACACCGAGGCGTACGATCGCATCACTGTCTACGCATCCTTTGATGGGGAAGAGCACAAGGAGCACAGGTGCGTGCAGCGACCTGGCCAATAAGAAGGCAGTGGCGGGCCCGGGATAGACCGCGAGGTCGCTCAGCTGGTACCGTCACCATCACCCCAGCAGCATGACGACGGCGGCAACTGGCTCAGAACAGCGGTTCCAATCACCTGCATCTCACCTTGTGCGCGGCCCCACGATGCCTTCAAGCGACGCACCCCCCAGGGCTGTCCATGGCGGCACCACCATGAGGGTGGAGGACATGTTTGCCAGTTTTGATGGCGACGACTTCAAGGCGGCCTCATTCCTGGAGCGGCACGGCTCACGGGGCGCCGGGCCCCCGCCGGCGGCCGCAGACAAGCCCGCCGCGGGCGCGGGCAGCAAGGAAAGCCCTCAGGCACAGCAAGGCGACAGCAGCAGCGCGGCAGGGCGGCCCCCTTTGGGCGGGGGCGACAGCATTGAGGGAGGCCATATGGAGGGCGGCGGCAGGAAGCGCGGCGTAGCGAGCTCGTTGGCAGGCAGCAGTGGTGGCAGCAGCGTCGGTGAAGAGGTGATGGACCTGCAAGGCGAGGCGAGGGCCTTTTCTGCCCAAGAAGCTGGCAGAGGCGCAGCAGTGCCCGCCGGGACAGAGCAGGTGCATGTGGGTCACATGCCATCAGTGGGCGCCGAATTCCAGCCAAGGCATGCTTCCTCACACCCGCTGGTAGCCCGGGCGCAGCAGCAGCAGCAGCAGCAGCAGCAGCAGCAGCAGCAGCAGCAGCAGCAGCAGCAGCAGCAGCAGCAGGCTCTGCTTGGCAACAAGGTGGGAGGCACGAGCCTTGCAGCAGCGAACAGCCATGCTGGCACCCTGCATGACTCGGCCGGCCCCTCGCCAGCTGCCACGCACTGTGTGATGCATGGAGGAGTCTGGAGCGGAGGCCTCAGCGGCTCGAGGGTGGTTGCGGCTGCGGCTGTTCAACTGGCTGCAGCACCTCCTCAGCAAAATGATAACGGCGCAGGTGCAGCAGAGGCGCGCCCACTTGTGAACCAGCAGACGGGGGCACAAGGCGCTCGGGTACCCAGCGGCGGCGGCAAGGGGCTCGCCGCGGCCTTGGCCAAGCTGCAGAGCATCAGGTTGCAGGATGCTGCCTCAGGGATACGCAGCAACGCAGGCTGTGTTGCCAGCATGGACGACTGAGCGCCAAAACAACCATACACTGGCAACCATCCTGGTTTGAGCGTGCGGTGTCACATGTGAGCCTTGAACATGTCCAACAGAACACACGTACATCAGCTTTTGCATCTGCACCTGATGTGCCTCCCAGATTTGAACATGGGAGTCTGGCAACAGTCTGTGTCTGCGTCGCTCGTTCAACTGAGGTTGCACGCATGCACTGAGCTGTTTGGCAGCCGACGTTTTTGCGCAACCAGCTGTTCCCACTGCAACACTAAAGCGGGCCAGGGGGTGACATGCTTACACTCAGCAGGAGCCTGCAGCAATTCAGAAACTGGCATCGGCACTGCGACCTGCCCGCTCAAAACAAACTGTCACAAGACAACTCGAGATTGCAGGAGCCGTCAATCAGCCACCTGGGAACAAAATGCATCAACAAAGCGGCCAAAAGCCCTGCGCCACGCCCTACGCAGCCTGCTCAATTGCAGCCCGCCAGCATCTCTCCTCAGTTGGTGCCCGCCTGTTTGCCCGCGCGCTTGGCGCGGTCAGCCTCGACCTCCGAAACCAGCTGCTGCACCTGTATTTGAAAGCAAGCAGAGGCAGAGAAGTTGTGTCAGTGTTACTTGATCAAGAGTCCACGGCAGCCCAGGAACACTCCGGCAGCCTCGGCCAGCAATCAGGCCAGAATCGCATGGCAAGGCGGCGCTCGCAAACGCGCAGCGGGCGGCAAATGGAACCTCAGTCGCCAGGTCAGCGAGAGGTGGGCGCGCACCTCGGCCTCTGTCATCTCCTCCATTCGCTTCTGGATCACGGCGTCCTCGTACATCTCCAGCTGCTTGACGTACGTCATTTGCTGTCGTGGATTACGGTGGGGTTGGCGGCGACGCGGCGGCGCTGAGCCAGCCAGCGGCAGCGCGGCCGACGTAGGCGCAGCCCGAAAGCATGCACAGGCCGGAGGGGGCGGCAGGCTGAACGCCCCCTTGACGCTGTGGATAGGAGTGGCCCGGCGGCGCCGCTGAGGCCTCCTGCTATCAGCCTGCCCGCCAGCCACCCGTCGGCCAGGCCGGCTCACAGAAAGCCCCGGACCCCCCAACCCTGAAATCTCCCGGTGCCGCCGCAAGTCGAGCGGCGCTACCGCAGCTCGCCGCTTTGCGACAGTCCCACCTTGGTGGCCACCCTGTAGATGTACGTGCTGATGTAGCCGACGCAGATCCCCATAAATATGATCGCCTGCACCCAGTTGCCGGCGATGCCAGCCTCCATGCCTGTCGCCTGCAGGCCGTAGTACATGACATAGCCCAGGGCGATCAGGCCGCCGCCAATCAGGAAGATGTCCTTGCGGGAGTAGCCAAACTCGGTGTTGTACACCACCTTGCGCTCCCCGGGCTGCTGCGGCTGCTGCTGCTGCTGCTGGGGCGCGGCCGGCGGCGGCGGCGGCGCCTGGCCCTGCTGCTGCTGATCGGCGGCGGCGCGGACGCACAGGTGCATGCGGGCGCGGGGCGCAGCGGCTGCGGCGGGACAGGGAGGGCCGGAGGTGTAGGAGGGTTCAACGGATTGGCATCGGGCATTCAACGCAAGGGCTGCAACCGCCGGCATGCAGAGCTGCCACGCGGCCCTCATGCAAACGGAGCGCGGCGCAGCGCAGCACCGCACCACGCATCGTGAGGCCCGCAAAGCACCGCCGGCCAGCTGCGCTGCTGCACGAGCCCATCGCTACGCGCTGGTGCATGAGAGAGGCCATTGTGCACTGAGATTTGTCCGAGCAAGACCGGCTCGAAGCGTGTAGCGTTCAGGTGTAGAGCTGGTGCTGGACCACCGACGCTCTGTGTCTCGGGGACACGCTGACGTAATTTAATATCGTTTGGATTACTGCACTGAACGGTTCTCACAAATCCTTTCTTTGATGAAAAGCTTGCCGGTCAGATCCTCCCTGCAGTCTGGACTCTAGTTCAGGCGAGTTCTACGCCGTCGGCGCCTACAAATGCTCGTGTCAAGTAGTAGCCTGGCATCCTGCCCGCCCCCGCGGGTGTGCAGGCCCCTAAGCGGCGGGTGGCACCAGCGTAGCCACGCGCTCTGCGCGGCGTGTTGCGAAGGACCCGGCGCCCTGCCGCCGCGTGATGGCAGCCAGCAGCTGCAGCAGCAGAAGCCCAGAGAGTCAGTTAAGGCTATCGCTCACAGACAGCTGCGGGGCCGGAGGCGCCGGCTGGCCAAGAGAGGGCTAACAGATAACAGGCAGCTGGTGCGGCAGCAGCTGGCTGAGGTGGTGCAGCTGCTGGATGATATGGCGCAGCAGCTGCAGCAGCAGCGGCAGGAACAGCAGCAGCAGCGGCAGGAACAGCAGCAGCAGCTGGCCGAGGTGGCGCAGCGGCTGCAGCGGCAGCGGCAGCAACAGCAGCAGCTGGCCGAGGTGGCGCAGCAACAGCTGCTGCTGCTACAGCAGCAGCAGCAGCAGCTGGGGGACGTTCAGAGGGGCATGCGAGCAGGAAAGCTACAGGTGGCGGCGTTGGCAGGAAGCATCGACGCGATCGTGGAGTCCGCCGCGCGCAAGAAGCTTGGGCTCGACCGCGTCGTGGTGAAAGACCTGGCGTCCTGCGCCGAGCTCGTGGCGCCGGCCAGCTCAAACGCCGACGTGCCCCTCCTGGCGGAGCGGCTCTCGAAGTGAGCCTCATGTCGCGTCCTTGTGCGCGACAGGGCATGCGGCTCAGCGCGGCGGCCTTGCGCCCTCAAGTGCATGGCCGGAGGCGCGCCCGCTACGGGCGAGGCGCGGCGCTGACGGCCTGGCGCATGCATGGGCGGTGGGAGGCCCGCGGCCGCCCAGCCGGGGTGCGTGGGCACCTAGCATGCGCGTGGGTTTACTAATCCTCCCATTCGCCCACCCTCCACCCTCGCTGACGCGTGCAGCGTGTCGCATTTCCGCCACTACCTGCTCCTGCTGGTGAGGCGGCTGGAGGAGACGGGCGCCGCTGGGGACCCGCAGGTGCTGGACGCCATTCAGGAGCTGCGGCAGGTGCTGGAGCAGGGGGACCCGCCGGCTGCACAGATACTGCAGGTGGGACGAACGCGCTCGCACCAGGCCTTCGGGCAAAAGGAGAAGGGGCATGCCAAACGACCAATGCTCAACAACAGCCATGGGGCTCACTTGACCGGGACGCATGTACGTGCTTGCCGGCCGGGCGCCAAGGGCGCTGGAGCGCTTGCCGCAAGGTCGCCTGAGAACACCGGCTGCTGAGGGCTCAACCCCCCCGGCCGTCCCCGCTGTCCCCACTGCCCCCACCCTGGCCAGGCCCTGGGGCCGCTGCACGTCGCGCTGTCCGGCGCCGCTGGAGCAGGCGGCGCCAGCGACGGCGACGGCGGCGGCCAGTGGTGGTCAAAGCCGCTGTCGCGCTGCTTCAAGCTCCTGGACGCGTCGCAGCGCGGCGCCGCGGCGCAGCACTTGATGGAGGCGGACAGCCTGGGCGTGCCGCTCCTGGTGGCGCTAACGGCCGGCGAGCTTTGCGAGTCGATGGTGTTTCACGGCGCCCCGGTCGTCGCGGCCGCCGGCCGCGGGGCCATCATACGCACTGCGGTGGTCACGACCAGCTCCTCAGGTGCGCGTCGGGCCGGGTGCATTGGCATGAACCCTGGCACGCGTTTGTTTGGTTGACCCCAGCCTGCATGCGCAAGCCTGCCTGAGATGTGCGAGCCCGCCTACCTGGTTGTGCGCCTGTCTCTCCTTGTGGCTGCGCCGCTGCAGCGTCGCAACAGTGCATGTAGCCCTCCCTTCCCCTTCCTGCCCGCCTCACGCTTCCCTCCTGCTCCTCAACCCCGCCAATTTACCCCACAGGGCTGCCCGACGGCCGCAAGCGTGCGGCCATGCAAGCCCAGGTGCTCGGCAAGGCGCTGGAGCTGCTTTTGCCCGATGGCCAGGCGCCGTCCCCGCTCCAGCTGGAGGGTACCGTCTACGTGCACGGCTGGGCCAATGGGCCCGGGGCGGCCTTGCCCGCAAGGCAGCTCAACGGCGTCCTGATCCGGGTCAAGTTTTTTGATTGTGTTGACGAGATTTTTGATTTTGCCGACTAGTAAGGGGCCGGCACGTGAGCGCGGGCGGGCGCGCCGGCGGCGGCGGCGGCCGCACCAGGCTGGCGTCAGCCACGGCAATTTCATGGGCCGTTTGTTTGCTGCAGGAGCAGGTGCTCTTATTTCTGTCCAACCCCTTTTGTTGGGCCCCCTTTTCAGTGTGCAGCCTCCCCTCCCCCGCCCCCATTTGAGTGGCACCACATGTTGCGGGCCGCTTGCGTTGAGCCGTGTACCACAGCAGCAGTAGTTCAGCGCAGCGAGAGAGTGAGCGGATGCAGGCAACACCTGGACTCGCCAATGCTGCCCCGCAGGCCGGGGGCTGGAGCACCGCACCCCAGCCGCAGCCCGCGCACTGTTTTTGTTGTACAGTACCGGGCAGATGGCAGCCCCCTGCAACATGGGGAGTCCCTCCCTGCTTGGCCGCCGAATGCTCCAGCCGCCAAGGGCTGGCAGCTTCTCATCCTTGAATGCGCGTGCCGCGTGCGCTTGACCCCCGCCCGCAGTTGTGATGGCGGTCAGGAGCAGCACGCGGCGCTCTGTGCATGCTGCGAGTGCATGCCACTGCTTGCTCAAATGTAACACTGTCAAGTTGCCTGCGGGAATCTGTGTTTATTTGTCGCCGGGATGGCGGGGCGCAGCATGGGATGGCGGGGTGCGGCCTGACAGCCAGGTCATTAGGCCTCCCTTGCATAAGAGCAGTCGGTGCTGCCACTGCCCACCCATGTAGCCCCTGCAGGGCGTGCACTTGGCTTACAGCACTGAATCGCCGGCCGCAGTGTGGTGCTTGCACACAGGACTGCTTGCTCATGGAGCCCCGAGGCGCAGCCTGCTTGCTTGAACGCACTCTGCCGACGTCAACAGCACAACAGACACCGGGCACTCTCCGTGCTTCATCATCACTGCTGCACCCGTCGTCACTGCTGATGTCACCAGGTCTGCCGGCCTTCGCAGCGGGCGGTCGAGGGCTTCTGGGGGGTGATGTCCAGCGCGCTCTTGATCCAGCTGTGGCTAAACTTGTGGCCGTTGGCCTGCCCCCAGGCCAGGATCTTGGGAAGCATCAGGGCCACCCCGCGCGCATCGCCGAGCGCCCTGTGCTTCTGAGGCCCGGCCCGATTCAGCAGCTTGCCCTCCAACTCTCCTGCGAAGTGGCGAGACGTCGTCACGGTCAATCTTGGGTTGTGGGGTTGCAAACTGCATGCGCTTGACAAAATCATCAGATGGCAGTGAAGACGGCACTCACCTTGCTTGTTGCCCTTGGTCCCAAGAGAAGGACCCAGCTGCCACTTCCGAGCGATCTGGTGAGCGTTAAGCAGGGTGGTGCCAAAGTTGCCAGGCGACACTTTGATGCTTGAAATCCTTATCACACGACAGACGCAACCATACACACACACACACACACACAAGCAGATGCACATGCGCGCGTACACACAAATACACACATACACAAACACGCACACACAGCCATACACATCTACACACACCCGCGCACGCACGCACACGCACTGGCTTCCTTGGTACCCAACTCACCTTGTAGGTATCTAGGACCATCCAATTGTCCGGCACGTCCGCAGCAGGAGCCAGGCACCGCCGCAGAATAGGGAAGTCAAACACTGCAGCAGCGGCGTACGAACAAGATGGCGATTAGCAGAAAAAGCATCGCTGCGCGCGTATTTCGCGCCAAGCGGGCCCGTGTGTGGGTTGAGTTGCAGCAGTCGGCCGCTTTGATTATGAGTGGCGGCCCCACGCGCGCGTGTGTGTGCACACCGCTTGTGCGGACAAGTCACATATTCAAGCAGCAAACCTACACTCACCGTGGATGTTATGGCCCACTATCAAGGGTACCGCCCCGGCGGGCGTATGCGCATCCACAAACTTCACAAGCAGATCGTGAGCTTCGGGCAGGGTTGGCAGGGCCACATCGCGGACTGCCGCCTCTTTGATCCCTGCATTCGAATTTGTCAGGTGGGTATGCAGTAACTGGGTGGGTGGACTAAGAGGGGGGGATTGGAATGAATCGAGGGGAGCGGGGCAAGGGTGGCGCACGCCGACACAACCCATCTGCATCTGGAGATACCGTAGACCACCCTTACACAGCGAGAGTAGGCTCGCCCTTGCCTGCACAGATTGGCCCCAGGTACAGAGCATCGAGGTTGACCAAAACATTGTGATGTAGAAATTGAGCAGGCGCATGCTGCTGACCTGTGATCTTGATAGCTTGTGAGGAGTAGTGCGCTCCCACAGGGACGAACACCAGGGTTGAAAAGGAGGACCCTGAAGCCACATCCACAATGCCCAGCTCCGTTATGTGGGAGGAGCCACCACTGAGCGAGACCAGACCCAAAGAAAAGGTTGGCTATCAAGCGCTGCCGGCAGAGGCGCGTGGTATAGGAGCATAAACATGTGAAGATCACCCAGACGAGCGGCGCTGCAGTAAGGTACCGTACATCACTTGCGTGCAAGGCATACAACAGCACCAGCCAGCCAGTACGGAAGTCTCACAAGCCAGTAGTCTCGATGTCAAAGGCCATCACGCTGAACTCTCTTGGGGCCTCGCAGCAGCTCCGCAAACGCTCGCTGAATCCGTCATCTGGCTGCTGTTGCTTGCAGGGCGATTTCCTTGCCACCGCACGCGCAGGCCTCGGCGGGGGAAGCGCTGATGCTGGAGATGCACGCACCAGGCGCAACGCAGGCACTCCAGTACGGTATAAGGTGCTATACAAGCGCATTTGATCATTTCGGCATGAGGTCCAGGAAGACGCAATCCTGGCGAACATTTTGCCAGCACGCAGTCCGCCTTCGTTGCGAGTCGCAGTTGGCGCGCACGTGACTGGACCACCGCGCGGTGTTCCTTTGAACACGTCCTCTTTGTATTGACATCTATACGCAATGGCCGGTCTGTGAGCTCTGACCAGATTGACTGTCGTGACCACTGCACACCGCTGCTGTCTGTGCTGCTGCCACTGGTGCTCCCCTGGAGCCGCCTACGATGGTTCAAGCTGTGCGCTGCTGGGATAATAGGCAGTCTGGTGCAGCGTATGCCACCACTACTGTAACAGCCATTTGCATGTGCACTCGCAGCATTGCACTTGCCACTCAAACAGCAGAGTGAGAATTGCATTCGTTCCTTGCCACAATGACCGGGGCAGGGCCACGAGGTTTGATGTGTGGTGTCTGCCAGGGTGCACTGCCGTGAAGACCGCAATCCCCAAATTTCAACCACTCCAAGTGCACTGGCCGTATGAAATTACACTGGTATCAGAGTGCCCAGAGGGCGCACATCACATTGACAATGGCAATGACAGGTTGCTTATCATAAGCACTGCCTATGCGTGCGCTGCAATACACGACAAACCTGCGCAATGTACCAGTTCTTTCTTGAGGGCAAGCAAATCAGGCTGTAGATGCTGCTGCCAGGAGATGCTTGCAACTTGCAGCATGTCAGCTTTTGGTGGAATTCCTGTGCAGAGGCAAGGCTAATCTGTACCTGTGTTCTCGTGCAGCTCTTGGCGAGCCACTGAGATGAGGTGCTGAAATGTGTTGCGGCAGGGATCATCACCGATGCTGGATCAAGGAGGCCGTGACACACCTAGACCATAACGCAAGAGAGAGAGAGAGAGAGAGAGAGAGAGAGAGAGAGAGAGAGAGAGAGAGAGAGAGAGAGAG